ATCCGCATATAAGACAGCTGATTTCAGTCATATGACTTTATCACTTGTGAAGACATATTGTATTATTTTAAAAAATTATAAGTAAGAAAAATGCGCAGACTAAAACATGTTACTAAAATCTTTTAGTCAAAAAAGAAAGCCAAGTTCAACAAACTAGGGTTGAGCTCTATTTACGAGTAAACTATACCGTGACTCCTTAGAGAAAATTAAAAACTTCGTACAGAATGAATAATCTTGGAAATACTCCCAGTTTATACCTATTTAGACCAACAGATTGTCTGCTTATATCCTCTAGCTGAGATTTTTATAGGTAAACCGGAGCCTAAAGGAATTGCATTTCGCACGCTTTGCATTTGGCTTTCCTTCATGAGTTCATATGTTTCCAGGTCCATTTCTATTTCGTCCATTCTTGCTATTAAAGACAGATTTACTACGATGGATCACTCTATGACAAGCTGCTCTTTTCGAAGATGCGTGAGAGTTTCGGTGGAAATCTGAGAGCTGTAATAACGGGCAGCGCTCCAATTTCGCCCACTATCCTACGCTTTACCAGAGCCCTATTTAACTGTCCGGTAAGCGCAAACACTCAAAATTTTGGAACTTTAGCTTAGAGCAAAAGCCGCGTTTTTCAATATTTAAAAATTTGATATCCATTTGGTCATAGAGCTTGTTGAATTTAGTTTTTCTGATCACACTGACGCCTCGTTGCATGTTTCCTGCTTGGTCTCACTTGAGTTCTTATTGACTGATGTTGTAATTTACCATACGGGCAGCACAGGTACTAGCTAAAATGTCCAGTTACGTGTTTCGCCGATATTCTGCCGCTGCTTAACACAACTGCAAGAAGCCCGGCTTCTCAGTAAGTCCCCTAGCTTTCCCCGTTTGCTTTCTGGTTATTAAACCGATGATGAAAGATCCGATTTTTAGTTTCCTTATGAATTAATTTCTGTGCTCGGTAAAGATCAGTTTATTCACGGTCTGTATGCATGGATCGAAATTTGATGTATATATTTGGACTGCGAGATAACCGCGGAATATACATATACTGTCAACGGGTAAACAGTAGTATTAATTGATGTTGTAATTTACCATACCAACAGCATAGGTAATGCTATATGACGAATTACAACATCAAATGAATTTCTGCCTGTAGACATATGTAGGATTTAATTAATTCTTCAATTCCAGTTTTACACTTCAACGAGGCTCGTGCAGTTAATATCGTTTCAGATCTATCCGGATTTCGGAGCAGTTAACTTTGAAGGCTGAAGGGACTAGAAATAATTCTTCTGGTCTCAAACTTTTGTCGCGGTCAGAAAATGGCCATGTAAGAAGCATTTTCTAGTACTTTAAGCTCACGCTCACCATGATGAAAAATGCTATGAGACGCTGGAACGATAACAAGGGAAGAAGGGGTCCTTACGAGATGCAAGTGGGCCCGCGAAAATAACAGTTAGGGCTTCACTAATAAGTTCCCAGGTCAATTAAAACTTCCACATCAGGGCTGCAGTTTGTATAAGTTGTGTGAATGCACAGACATTAATTTTGCTCATCTATACGTGTCAGATTGAGTGCTGGGGAGAAGATGTAATAGACATTAATCAGACAGGTACTAGCACAGGCACCAGCCTAAACAACAGCAATTCAGATCGCCGTCTGCGCGTTGGCAGCATGTGTATATTAAGCGGCTACCCCGCAGTGGCTGATAACAATCAGTCCAAATATATACATCAAATTTCGTTCTGTGCCCATAGACTAATTCCTAAGGGAATGTTCAAGCTGAACTTTTACTGAATGAATAAGAAGGTTCGCGTTCAAGGTATTTACACAGACAAGGAAGAAGACGTTTCGAGCACTGGATCTCACAGGAGTCCAGCTTCAGAGATGAGAAGTAGCAACAAAAAGGAGGGTAATTATGATGGCTATGGGCCAATCAACTGGCAGAAATCATCGGGTTGTCAAGGTGTTAGAAACAGCAATGAAGAAGGATGGGGGCAGTTATAGTGGTGTACGCTCAATAGCTGCAAGTGGAGCCGACGGTCATTAACAGCAATTAGTGTAGGCCGCGGGCGGGTCTGCATGCCTGTTGACTGAGTTGGCATCTGAGTACCCTGCCTCAAGCGTCAGACTCTCGGCTTTTGAGGTTCGTCGGCCTACGGTGGTCGCTCCTTGAAGATCGAAGTCGTAGCCAGTCTCTGCGATGTGTTCTGCAAGTTGCAAGTTTGCGTCTAGTCTCCGAGCTCCTAGTTTGTGCTCGTATAGGCGGGTCTGCAATTTGCGGCCTGTTTCTCCAATATAACTACAGTCTCCATCGCTGCAACGTATCTTTTAGACAACTGCAGAGGTTTCAGTAGAAGGCAGTCTGTCTTCAGGTTGCATCACCCGGCGGCATATTGTCGCGTATTTTACGGAATTTTGAGGAAGTTAATTTAATCAAATCATGTAAATCTAAGCGAGTTTAAAATTTATCAGGAATTACTACTCCTTCGGTGCAGCTACTAAGTGAGACATTTAAACCCTTACTTTTTTCATAAGTTTTTAGTCAACTAGAATTTCATTTTTGTCCCTTCTAAGGTACTCGAGGGTTATGGCTCTACCGAGGCTTGTGGTGTCCTAACCCTTTCGGTGGCGGGCGATTTAAACGGTGGTCATGTTGGAACGCCAGTATCCTCTGTCGCTCTGAAATTAATGGATGTCCCCGAAATGGAACTTGTCGCTGAAAGGGACAATAAAGGCGAGGTACGCGCTCGCTTTTTTGTGTCTCATCTTATTTGAAACTGTCTGAGAAACTACTTTGAATGTTGCAATGCAAAGAAATAGTCAGCATCTTGTAGTCGCTCACACATCCCATGTCTAAATCCGACAATAAATCCATAACCTCAATCTCTAACGCTAGCCGTTAAGCCTTGTCCCTAACCCCAACCTAACTCTTACTGAATTTTTAACCTAATGAAAACAATCAAGGCAGTCTTGAAGGGGAATGAGTAAAGGCAACAAAGGCTAAAGTAAGCCTACTCAAATGAAGCAAGCAGATAATTCATAGAAGTAGATACTAGAGTGGGTTACCTTTCCGACCGTCATGGTTTATGCAGTCAGTTAATAAGAATAACTACAGATAACATGGCCCAGTAACTAGGGCGGATACCGCACCTTTTAAATTATCTGTTCCTGCTCCGGTCTTAGATAGTACTAACAGCCATAAGTACAAAGTGACATTACATCCTGATGGTTTTTTTTGAACAAGTTCTTTTTGGTTTGTAAATCCAGTTTTCTTTCTAGATATGCTGGAAGAGCGTTGGTGGTACATCAGGCTATTTCAAGCGTCCCGAAATGACAGCAGAACTGATTGACCAGTATGGATGGATGCATACTGGTGACATTGGAATGTGGATTGTGAGTTAACGTGTTTTTGTGTTTTGAACAGCAGACCTCAAATAGTTTCACGCTTAAAACTACATGTAAACAAATAATCCAATATGTCTAAATAGGCTTCTCTGGTGCCGGTGGCGAGGAGATACCAAGATGTCCGTGCGAAAATAATGAAAGTATTCGAGAGAGATGAATCCCCTCAGCCTTATTTTGATAGGGAGCTAAACAACTTCACGGTAAAACGTCAAGTTAGATAACAGCAAATGAAATAATAAAAGACTAATCTAGATTTCAGGTGAGGTTGCGTCAGTTTTAGCATACCGATATGTAGTTACCTTGCGGGAAGGTTGGTTTTAATCGTCTCCCATTTCTTCGCTGTCGTTTGCCAGGAGCTGCTGCTTAACGATAGGATGTACCTTAACAACCCATTGTGCGCAAACATATGCAAAGAATATACCTGAGCTCGTCGAAAGACAGCTAGGAAAGCAGCAGATAAAAACTGCGCACGAGCCTACAAGCACCCAGCTTGTGCAGGGACAGGGTCGGCCATTTCAAAAGAAAGGAAGTCGTCTACAAAATTCCGTGCACCAGTTGTGATGCAGTCTATTGTGGCCAAACAGGAAAACCTCCATCCGCCCTTATACATGAACACCAGTTAGCAGTGCGGAGACGAGACCACTTATCTAGGTTGCCATGTCCACACTAGAAAAAAGACATATATTTACATAGGAGCAAACCCAAATTGTTGGCGGCTCCCCAACTAAGAAGGCCCGCGAATTCCTGGAGGCCATGCACTCGGACAAGGCATGCACTCACAGGCATATCGATTTAGATGTCAATTAAAATCCCTCAAGATCAGATGGAAGCATGCACAGCCACCACTGACCGCATAATTAACTGCGGGTGACGATTATCTTCCTACAAGCTGACTCAACGTAGAATATTGTGTTTGTCATCGTTTTGAGCTAACTGTTCTCGTACAACCCTCATTTGTCTGACGGCGAGCTCGAAAATCAGACTCGGAAATTCGCGCAATAAGAGTTATTCCTACCTAAAGGGCTTTTTATTAATAAATAATCACAAACCAACAACACGGCGGACGCGTGGCTCAAAGGTCAAAGCGTTCGCCTCTGGCCGGAGAGTTAAGCTAACACCACCAGGTGACGCCAATGAGGCAGAAAAGCGCCTCGTGGATGTGCTCTGTGTTTTTCGCTAAATACCATAAATAAATATATATGCCTCAAGAGTATAAGTTAGGAAATTAGTAAGTGCATGACATGGAGCTAAGTGACAAGACAGGAAATTTAAATGGGCATTCGAGTCAAAGACAATCAACTGCCGTGGAATGACCACACAATACCCATTCTATGAACAAGTAGTACTACGAGTGGTATGAATTCTTTATGAAAAAGAGGTTATACCGTATTGCCGACGTGAGCTTTTAACAAGTACCCATGTCGGAAGTACTCTATAACGTCTTTGTCGTATAATTATATTCTAGCGAAGCTACTTAATACCTATGAGGCTAATGGAAGTGAGCAGAATAGTTCGCCTGGCTGACGTTCGTGAAGTATGTAGCTACACAATTAGACAGAAAACCGCTTCTGATACCCCTTCTAAACGATGGAAAACCATTATTCTCGGAGAAAGGACCCGAGATTTTGAAGGCAAGTCACAGGTCTTAATCTTGTTGTCTTCTCATCTCTTGTTGTAGAACGGCAGCCTTAAAATAATTGACCGATGTAAGCAGATCTTCAAACTGTCCCAGGGTGAGTACGTGGCTCCGGAGAAAGTAGAATTGGTCTATCAGGAATCTCCGCTAATTGCCAATGTCTTTGTCGATGGCAGTCCACTGAGCTCATTTCCTGTGGCGATTATTGTGCCCGACAAACAGGGTGTTCTGAAGGCGCTGAACGGAAACGGAGAAGACATCAAGAATTGTTCCTTAAGGTCTCTCTGCGAAAGCTCGCTCGTGAAGACACTCATCTTCAAGGACTGCATTCACCTTGGTGAAAAGGCTAAGCTCAAGGGCTTTGAAAAGGTGCGTATTTTAACGTTCTCGCGTACATTTGTGTGGTTGCCTTTAAAGCCAAATGGACATTTTATAACCAAATGAGCGCTCCAACGTTGTACTATAGGCGCAGAATCGGTCAGCTTAAAAGAGAATAAAACTAACATTTAAACCAGCAGGCTGTTTTTTCTTCGGCGCAGAACGACCCTAGAATGTCAGAAACTAGACCTTGAATATACAGATCTACACCGAGTTTAAAAATATTTATAAGAGGAATTTAAAATACGAAATTTTAAAATTGCTTTATCAATGAGGAAGCACATAGGTAAAACTTGGGGACTTACTGATGACCCACACTCCTCGCAGCTGTATCAAACAGTGGCAGAATACCAACAAAACACTGTCTGGGCCTTTTAGCTAGAACCTGGGCTGCCAGTATGGTAAGTAATAAACAGAAAATGACTAGTCTTTGTGAAAAAGTCAATATTTTCTATAGCAGTAGGAAATATTGAAAAGATCAAACTTCATTGAGCTCGGTCTCGCTTTTATGTAAATAACTTCAGCCATAGTGCTTACATAGTGTTCCCCTTTTAGTGGTAGATATCCATCAGATCTATTTGTCATATTTCAATTGCTGTTTGGAGTTAACGAACTAATGCTTGCTTGTTGGGATTGGATTAGTGCTGGGGTACCTCCTGCAGAATAGGTAAATCGAACCGCCTCCTGTTACATGTTCCTTTGCGCAATATTCCAGGGGTCTTAGGCTTATGGTTAAGGTTGTAGTTAGGATTGGAGTTAAGATTGGTGTTAAGCGGTAGTATAGTAAGCTGGTGCAGAGAAGCGGAAAATGAAAGTGAAAGCAATTAACACTAAACTAAAACTAACCTAGACTAAAACAAATAAAGCTAAATAGTTAACTAATAAGTAAACCAAAGAATAAACTAAAATTAAAATGGGTATTTAGTCATGCATAGTAAAATACGGTGTTGTTTTAAAAGGAATCCTTACTTGGTAAGAGTTAGGTTTGGGATTAATGTTAAGCGGCAGAAAAGATGTGGAGAAGCGCGGAATAAGGACATAAGTTGACTAACTCTAAGTCCTGTACTTTGTCTTCAGAAATAAATCTAAAGAGAGCAAATTTGGTTGGACGTTCTGTCAGCAGGTCTGCGTGGGAGACTGCAAACGTGGAGATTTCGATACAGAGATACTGGCTGCTGCCCCGGCTTTAGAGAAAGTGATAATGGGTGCTAGGCTTTCCTTTATCGAGGAGCTAAGGTTAATAAGATTAACCCTAATAGCTGCAGTCGTCAGGTCTGGTGCCCTAGGAGATGAAGAAGCGGTGGGAGGCCAAAGTGGTAGGAATAGTTTATTCTGTACTGAAGGAATGGATAAGGGGGGTAGTCTACTGTAGGACAAGCGTAGGTCTTTATTCGAGCCGGGCAGAATCCGAAGTC